TTCTTTCCCAACAGTGGTATCAGAGCTCCTTGGTTGGAGTTCTATTTGGTGCTATTAAAATGGGTGAAGGTGATATGGCTGGTACTGTGCTGAAATTGGATTCTTCCAATTATTCTATTTGGAAATCCTGGATGGAAGACTTGTTGTTCTGTAAGGACTTGTATGATCCCATTGACAGAGACGGTACTAAGCCAGATGATAAATCTGTTGCAGAATGGACAAAGTCAAACAGAAAAACAATTGGCATGATCAGGAAATGGATAGATCAGAGCATTTATCATCATATGTCTAGTGAGACTAGTGCCCGCAGTCTGTGGAAGAAATTGAAGGACGTGTTTGAGTCCAAGAATGCACAGAACAAGGTATTTTTATTTCGGAGACTGGTTAATCTGAAGTACAGGGATGGTTCTTCAGTGGCAGAGCATATGAGCAGTTTTCAGAATATTGTGAATCAGCTGACTACTATTGAGATTAAACTTCCTGATGAGCTACTTGCTTTGTTGTTGCTTAGCTCATTGCCAGACAGTTGGGAAACATTGGTGGTATCTCTGAGCAATTCCACTAATGGCAATATGACTTTTGATACTGTGAAAGAAGCCCTATTGAATGAAGAAATCAGGAGGAAGGGAAACAATACGGCTAGTTCATCTACTCACACAGAAGCCTTGGTTATTGAGTCACGGGGGAGAAGCCAACATAGAACCTCTCATAAATCTAATGACAGAAGCAAGTCAAGAGGACAATCAAGGCCCAGGAAAGACATCAGGTGCTATCATTGCAACAAAGCAGCTCATATGATAAGAGAATGCAGGTTGCTTGAGAGGGAGAAATCAAGGGAAAAAGGCAATGATAATAAAGAAGATAAAGACACAACTGCAGTTGTATCTGATGATGAAGTTGTTGTTGTTTACGAAGATGATTCAGTTAATCTCGCATGCCAAGATTATGAATGGGTTGTTGATTCTGCTGCCTCATATCATGTTACTCCTCATCATGAGTATTTTTTATCCTATACTGCTGGAGATTTTGGGCAGGTAAAGATGGGTAATCAAGGGGTAAGCAAGGTTGTTGGCATTGGAGATATCTAGGTAGAAACTAATGTTGGATGCAAGCTGCACTTGAAGAACGTTAGGCATATTCCTGATATGCGCCTCAGCTTGATTTCAGTACAGGTACTTGATGATGATGGTTACCATAATTCCTTTGGCGATGGTAAATGGAAGTGCACCAAGGGTACTTTGGTGGTAGCAAAGGGAGTGAAGAAAAACACCCTTTACTGGACTTCTACAAAATTGTGTGCCCCTCAAGTGAATGCAATTGAGGATTGTTCTACAGAGCTATGGCATAAGCGTCTCGGTCACTTGAGTGAGAAGGGACTTGACACTCTTGCAAGGAAATATCTGCTTCCAGTGAAAGGTACACCTCTCAAAACTTGCTCTTATTGTATTGTTGGTAAACAACATAGAGTTTCTTTCTGCACTCACTCTCCTCACAGGAGGTCACATATCTTGGATTTAGTTCACACTGATGTTTGCTCTATGGATGTTAAATCCCTTAGTGGTTATTCTTATTTTGTGACATTTATTGACGGTCACTCGAGAAAAGTGTGGGCTTTTGTTTTGAAATCCAAAGATCAGGTACTTGATATGTTCAAACACTTTCATGCAAGTGTGGAAAGAGAAACAGGTAAAATGTTGAAGTGTGTCAGAGCAGATAATGGTGGTGAATACAGGGGGGCCATTTGAGCATTATTGCAGGGAACATGGAATCAGGCTTGAGAAGACAGTTCCAAAGACTCCACAGCACAACGGAGTTGCAGAGAGAATGAACCGCACAATTAATGACAAAATCAGATGCATGCTCTCCCATGCAAAATTGTCTAAATCATTCTGGGGTGAAGCATTGAGAACTGCAGTAGATTTGATCAACCTTTCTCCTTCAATTCCTCTTGATGGTGATGTTCCAGAGAGGGTGTGGCGAGGGAAAGATGTCTCATATAATCACTTGAGAGTGTTTGGCTGCAAGACATTTGTTCATATTCCTAGAGATGAGAGGTCCAAGCTTGATGGTAAATCAAAACAGTGTATCTTTTTGGGTTATGGCCGTGAAGACTTTGGTTACAGGTTTTGGGATCCGATTAACAGGAAAGTCCTTAGAAGTCGAGATGTTATTTTTGTTGAAGACCAAACCATCGAAGATATTGACAAGAATGAAAAGCAGAAACAGGTTGTCCACAGGTACATTGATGTTGATTCAGAGCCTCCTACCATAGTCAATAATAATGGGGGAGATGTGAATGCAGATGTGGACAATGCAGGTGATGTTCCTGAGCCCCAAGTTAATGAAGAAATTGAACAAATTCCACCAGAGCAACCTCCTGAGCCAGTGAGAAGATCCATCAGAGAGCACCATCCTTCACAAAGATATCCTCCTCATGAATATGTGATGCTTACTGATGGGGGAGAGCCACAAAGCTTTGAAGAAGCTATGTCACATGAAGAGAAAGACAAGTGGTACAAAGCCATGCAAGAAGAGATGAAATCCTTACATGAGAACCACACATTTGAGCTTGTGAAGCTACCTAATGGTAAGAGAGCACTCAAGAATAAGTGGGTGTTTAAATTGAAGTCAGAAGAAAATAGCTCACAGCCAAGGTACAAGGCAAGGTTGGTTGTGAAAGGATTCAGTCAGAAGAAAGGTATAGATTTTGAAGAAATTTTTTCACCTGTGGTTAAGATGTCTTCAATCCGAGTTGTACTTGGTTTGGCAGCTAGTTTGAATTTAGAGGTTGAGCAACTTGATGTGAAGACCGCATTTCTCCATGGTGATTTGGAGGACGAAATTTACATGGAGCAGCCTGATGGTTTTGCAGTCAAAGGTAAAGAGAAGCTTGTCTGCAGATTGAAGAAGAGCTTGTATGGTCTTAAACAAGCTCTAAGGCAATGGTACAAGAAATTTGATTCTTTCATGGTGGATCATGAGTATGCAAAAACTTCTTCTGTTCATTGTGTGTTTGTGAAGAAATTCCCTAGTGAGAAACTTATTATCCTTTTGCTCTATGTCGATGACATGTTGATTGTTGGTCATGACATGAAAGAGATTGAGCATTTGAAAAGAGATTTGAGCAAGTCCTTTGCAATGAAGGATTTAGGCCCTGCAAAGCAAATCCTTGGCATGAGAATTACACGTGACAGGAAGAATTGCAAATTGTGGTTATCACAGCAAAAGTACATTGAGAAGGTATTGGAGAGGTTTAATATGTCAAATTCAAAATCAGTTGGCGCTCCACTTGCAGGTCACTTCAAATTGAGCTCTATGCAATGTCCTACAAGTGAGAAAGACAAAGAAGAAATGGAGAATATTCCGTATGCATCTGCAGTTGGTAGCTTGATGTATGCGATGGTGTGTACACGTCCAGATATTGCTCATGCAGTTGGCGTGGTCAGTCGTTTCCTCTCTAATCCTGGCAAAGAACATTGGCAAGCTGTGAAATGGATACTCAGGTATCTCAAAGGTACTTTTGGAGTCTGTTTGTTCTTTGGAGGTGGTAAGCCTATGTTAGATGGTTTTGCAGATGCAGACATGGCTGGTGATGTGGATTCTAGGAAGTTTACTTCTGGTTATATGATGACTTTTGCAGGGGGAGCAGTGTCATGGCAGTCTAGATTTCAAAAATGTGTTGTTTTGTCTACTACATAGGCAGAATATATTGCCGCCACAGAAGCTGCAAAAGAACTCTTTTGGATGCAGAAATTCCTACAAGATTTGGGTCTCTCACATGAGAAATATATTTTATATTGTGACAGTCAGAGTGCAATCCATCTCCGCAAGAACTCGACTTATCACTCAAAGTCGAAGCATATTGATGTTCTGTATCATTGTATACGCGATGCGCTGGAGATGAAGAAATTTTCATTAGAGAAAATCCATACTGACAAGAATGGTTCAGATATGATGACAAAGGCCTTACCTATGGAGAAGTTCTCTACTTGCAGAAAGAAAGCAGGTTTGGTCTCCTATGGTCTCCCTTCAATTTGGTGAGGGGGAGAATTGTTGTGTGGGTCACCAAAATAAGTGAGCCACTTAATCTTATTATTATTATTATTATTAAAAGAGAAGGAAAAAAAAAGGGAATTAGCTTTGTGGGCCAAAGCCCATGAAATGGTTAAAGGGTTTTAACCCTTGTGTGTTAGATATAACAGGAGCAAGGGGGAAGAAAACTGCAACGTGAACGACTCTACAGACAGAGAGAAGAATATCAAAGAGTGCCTCTTTATTGTTGTGTCGTAGAACCCGTTGATGGGTTAGTTGATTTGATATCCACCTTGTACGGTGAAGATTATATTTGCTCTGTTGATCCTTGGTGGTTCCAGGAGGACTTGTGGTGTATCCATTAATTTATTAGTGGAAGATTTACTGGCTTGGTCCCGTGGGTTGTTTTCTCTTTAAGGGTTTTTTTTCCACGTTAATAATTCTGGTGTCTTATTTTATTTGCTCTATTTTGTGCTTATTATTGTTGTCTGAGCAATTTGTTTGAAGCTTATTTTTAACGATCCAGCAGCTTCCGCATTTTATTACTATCTTCTATATTTGTTTTCTTTCCCAACAAAAAGAAGGAAAATGAGGGTTTAGTGTATGCAGGTTGGAAATATGTGCATGCGTCATTGCCGGAAAGGATTGATTTGTGAATTAATTGGTCCATTTATTAAAAGCTTATCATTCTTTTGTGTAGTAAAAAAATTCTGAACAGAGGGAAAATTAGAAAAAGTGTCGGTTGTTGATTTTCTTGGTTGTATAGTTGATTTCAAAATAAAAAGTAAATTGGTGCAAGGGAAAATCAGTGGTCCCCACTTCCCCAAATAACAAAAACAACAAAACAAATATTCTTACAACAAACTTAACAACAATCAAATCCATAAGCAATTTGTCTCTCTATCCTGTGTTGTTGTCTAGATGACTAAAATAATACACATTTCAAACAATATTCTCAAAACAAACACTTAAGAAGAGGTGCCAGTAGAAGATATTGTTGTAGACTCTCTAGCAGCAGCAGCAAGACCCTGAAGTAAGATCATGACTTCTGCAGTATCATCCAAGTAGTATCTAGCTTTGCTTGGTTTCTGCTCAATAGTACATGTAAATATTTCTGGTGATGAAGATGATGTTGAAGCAAAGGATTTGTTTAGTATGCTCTCAAACATGTCTTCATCAGATCTATCATCCCCAATGCACAGAACAAAATCTGGCGATTTTCCGCTCATTGTTAGTATAGACAGAACTTCGTCTACAACTAACCCTTTCGAAATTCCCTGGAATGTTGGTTAGCCAATATTAGCTTTTGAGAATAACTAGTAGCAACGAAACTTGTGCAAAAAGGAAGCGATTAATACACTTCAGTGAGAAACAGAATCATAAGATGTTATGTGTCTGCAGTGTTTGAAATTGGAGACCGCATCATGATAGTTGAACTAAAACATATGTAATAAATAATTTTATTTGACATTAATAAAAAATAAATTTACATAGCAACAGAGCCGCAATTGCAGTAGCTGCAATGCGACCAGAGCCACAATTTAAAACAATGTCTTTAGATTATAGGTTTGTGAGAAAGAGAATATAGGTAAGTATGGACCTGAAGCTTGACCTCAACAATATGCTTCCCCTTTTTAACAACAACAGGCTCATTGGCAAGCTCACTTCCAAGAAACTCCAACATCTCTCGGCCTTGCTGTGATCCAAAATCAGTTTCGGCGTCATGGTAATTCCATTCCAATGCACTGTACCTGATCTCCATATAGGAGCCCTCTGTTACATCAGTATATGATCTCATCACACGTTCAGTGATAACTTTCCATGCATAATTTGTGCCAACCTGATTCATTTTCCAATATGATTCTCCACCCCACCTGTAGAAAATATTAAACAAAACTGCCATCAGATTAAAAACCTTGCTGGTAACAATACGATATATTCAAGAAGAACAAACTTTAGAATAGACCGAATATAATAAGCAAATGGCGTTAATTCATTTTATTTCTTATTCATCTTGAAGTAAATATTTGAGTGTGATTGAAATTATTCATGACATGTCATTTATATGATTAACAGTTTAGTTGCAGACAACCAATCATGAATCGAAAACACTAACCTTATATAACAACCATGCTCAGCTGCTATACCAAGATTCTCACACTGATTAATCAATTTTCTCAATGAAGGTCTCCCCTGACCACTTACAATAAACACAGTATTGCTAGGGTCTTTGCAGAGATTGTTTAACAGAGATATGACATATGGACCAGGGGATTCTAAACCGGAACACTCAGGTACGATTGTACCATCATAAGCCAAAAAGATTGCCCTGCATTTTGTCCTTTTATACGCAGAAACAACATAGTCTATTGACAGCTTCTTGAAACTAGCAGATAGGGCCAAGACTCTGAACTCCAAGCCAAAGCCAAAACCCCAGCAAAGTTTCGTATAATGATCCTTACACGAGAAAAATAGGTCTTGCTCAAACTGTTGGGCCCAGTAAGCCACATCATGAGTGCTAACATATTGATAGTTCTTCTCATGCCGGCACTGTTTCTCTCCATTAGACATTGTGATAGCAAACTTCAACGCTTCGGCAACGGCATTTATATCCCACGGATTCGTCCTGATTGCCCCACTAAGAGAGGGTGGGCAACCTATAAGCTCAGACACAACAATTGAACTTGTCCGAGGGTAGTCGGAAGCTATATCTAACGCTTGGTCGATTTTAGAACTCCCATGCCTGCACGCAATGTACTTTAACGGAACCAAATTCATATCATCCTGCACCGCATTCACAAAGCAACATTCTGCTAACGCGTAATATGCCGCCTTTTCATGGAAAGGAACATAACGATCAATGATTATGACAGGAGTATAACCTAGAAAACCAAACCTTCGATTTATCCGTTTTGCAAGCATGTGGGATATCTTCTTCGCTGCTTCAACATATCTACAATCGCTCCTTGGAGGATTTAAAATTTGGACAAATACCAACTGACCCAGCAGTTCAGGGCACAGTTTCAAGAGTTGTTCGAAGGCTGCAAACTTCAAGTCCACGCCTTTGAAAATATCCAGGTCGTCAACACTAATAATAACTTTTTTCCCCTTAAGTTGTTTGCAGATTTCTCTAACTTTGATAGAAGTGGAAGGGTGATTTAAAGCGGTTTGAATGTGACCCATATGAATCCCAGTAGGCAATATTTTAATGAATATTGTACGGCCAAAGTATTCAATCTCAAAGTGACCACTTTTTGATTCATACTCCAAGCCAAGCAATAGAATGCAGATGGACAGAAAATGGTGAGCATAATCAAATGTGTTAAAACCAATCATATCTACATTAAGCAGTGCTTTCAAAATTTCAGTTCTGACAGGTATAGTTTCAAAAATTTTGGAGGAAGGAAACGGACTGTAGAGGAAAAAGCCTAGCCTGACACGACTAAACCGCCTCCGCAGAAATGTTGGAAGAACCATAAGATGATAGTCATGAACCCATACATAATCCTCTGTTGGATTAAGGACTTCCATGACTTTATCGGCAAACATCCTGTTAGCAGAAACATAAGCCTGCCAAAGTGACCAATTGAAGCCATTGCAACCACACTCATACTTAGGCACCATGTAATGGAATAGATGCCACAAATAGTTCTTGCAGAATCCATCATAAAACTTTTTATGGAGTTCCGAAGGAATAAAAGTAGGCAAGCAATTGAACTCCTCCAGCAAATGAAGGGAAATTGCCTCTTGCTCACTTTCATCAACATTGACCTTCAGAGATCCGACATAAACAACATCAATATCAGATGAGAGACCATCTTTTAACTGCAGGAAAATTGAATCGTCATCCCTACGAAAGCACCATCTACCAGAAATGTCATCCTTTTTAGCATCCAGAGGAAGAAATGTTGCTACTATTATCATCTTGCGATGTGGTACTAACGATAAAGCATTTGAATCATCACCATCAGTCGACATAACTCCTGCAACCGGTATAAATGGTGGAGGAGTTTGACGGAAATTGATATTATCCCCCGACACCAAGTCTACCAAATCAATGTGTGATCTTGATGTTATCACCATTTTTACTTGACTTCCCAGTTTCTAAAGATTTTCAAAAGTGTGGTATTATTTGGAACCAGTATCCACAACTAGAAAGATCTTGAACAACCAACAAGTATCCAGTATAGGAAATAAATGCATAACATAACCTCGTTACTGATTGTAGGAATTTACAGTCCAACAAGTTACAATATCATTAAATTCTGCAAAGAAAAAATTATATAAATGTGTGAACAAAACTGCACAATAATGGCTCCAGTGTATATGAGTGCTCTGATAATCTATAATGCACCATGCTAGAAATTCTAAACTAGAAGAATTAAGTTGTACCACTATTTAAAAAATTAAAGAATGAGAAAACAAACGTGTATTGTGTGTAGTCACAATCACAAGTATTCATGCAGTCAGCACATCGGTGGCCGTTGAATCAAAATCGATGGTGCAGGAAGCAAACAGATTATGATTTTTTTTAACTTTAAAATACCAAATTGAAATTTGGACTGTCCGATCTCGATCCAAGGACCACTGATGTGCTATCGACATAAATGTGTGCGATTTTGACTGCAAACAATCCAAATCTTGTCAAAAAAGGCTCATAAATATCATCCCCGGATAATATGCATTCTATACTAAGATGTCGAGTTTAGTACAATTCTCATTAAGAGGCTTAAATCCAACAAAAGGAGATCATGCCTCTTCAAATCAGGTATTAAGGAACAAAATCATATATATGTCCACCAAATGTTTAGTGAATCTAATACTAAATCTCAACACGCTCAATAAGAAATCAATACCATAATCACTGAAACAAAACATAAATGTATTAAAGATTTAAATGCATTAAAGAAAACCAGCACATGTTTACCTAGATTTAACTCAGCCAACGACCAATCTCGCGTATATCTCTTCGCATCAGCTCTTTGAATCGCCCAATTCTATACAAGCACAGGTAGACTGTACTTGGAACACAGATCACTAACTTTAAATGATAAGATATTAACTATCATAAGGCATATATATTACTGAACACCCCGTTTTGGTCATGCTAGCCTATCACGCACAACGTCTCCGTATATCACGTTAAGCTCGTGAATGAGAAGGCGTTATACTTTATGACAGATAGGCACAGTACTGGTTAGCAGAATACAATGTACAAGAATGTCGTGACTCACTCAAACGTATATCTCTTAAGTTGAGCAAATACTTTTAATTTCTTTTTACATTTAGGCAACAAAATAAATTAGTTTAATTCATTTAAAAATGACGAAATTTTCCGAAATAAGGCAGAACAAGAAACGATACACACACACACACACACAAAATGAACAATAAAATGGAATATTATAATATCAACAATCAAAATCTTTTTCTACTAATTAGTGCCGTTTACACGAATCCGATGTCTCATAATCATAAATCATGCCTAAATTATAACTTAAAGATTAAAAGTTGTTTCCTTGCAAATCAAATAAGGATAATGGAAGCAAAAATGTGTTAATTGCAAACTAATCTAAATTATTTAAAATCTGTCATAATTCAGAAACTAATCCAAATAAACCTTAGGTTAGCAATATTTGCCCCTGCTAACTTCACGTACAAGCAATATGCAGCATCATTACATTACCCCAAAAAACAACCCTAAATGCAATTACTAACTTAACTCAATCCACAAAACCCCCAATTGCAAGAAAGACATAGAAGTGCATGCATTTACCTAGAAACTTCAAACTGAATGTCACAGTGATCATGGAGGAAACAAAAAATTGAAATGAAAACTTGAGATAACTCAAACCAAAAATAGAAATAACCCCAAGCTCTCATTTTACCTTCTTCATAGTTGCTGCTGCAACAGTCAAGAATCAATAAAACAATTTATAATAAATAAACAAATAAATAAAAGAGAGTATAATAGAGTTGATTGAGTATGATCTATGAACAGAAATTGAAAAGAAAGAGAAAATTGGTAGGGAATCGAAACCGACCGAAAGGGAAAAACATAACGGCAAAGAAATAATAATGATAAATAAATAAATAGGAATTATTTTTGTTAAAAGGGATAAACATAAACATAATGTTGGATTGGGAATATGGATTTCGAGGTTCCATTTGCAAGTTTTTGTTGCTTTGTTCAACAATGGATTTCGGACACTGACGGAACAGAAAATCAAGAAAGGAGAGACACTAAGCTAGAAAAATGAGATACTTGGCAATTTTTTAATATTATTTTTTAGTTTTTTTTAAATATGGTTTATATTATTGTTGTGAAAAAATGTTCTTAGAGAAGAAAACAAATTAAAAAAATTATCTGTGGACCGAAATAATTTTATTGAGCTCAAAATGGGAATAATATATAACGCCTTAAACTAAGTAATGTGCAGGGAGTGTCTAAACGAGTATAGGTAGCTCGAAACATCAAGTAAGGTGGTTGTCCGAAGCATATGTTGTTTAATTGGATTTGAGTCTGAAACCCGTGATCCATTTCATATAACACATGACTTTTGAGGTGTTTGAGGAGTAACACTCAATGAGAAAAATGATATCTTTCATGATTTAAGGGACAATGAGTCTCTTGCACTCCATATTATTTATTGTCGAATGAGGAAAATCACTTCATGGCTTTCTAGCGCAGACCCTGGAGATTTCCTATAAATGCCTCGATCCTATAGTTGAAGGGTGCATCCCCAGATTTCATAGAGAAATATACAAAGTCTCTAACAACAACCACATGAGCATACTCTCCTTCTATAACTATTGTACTTTTTATCAAGTACAATTCGTGCGCCCCTTAGAGCTTTGCTAAAACTAATCTAGGCCACACCTATATTTCCCTTAAAATTCGCCTCAATTTCCACCTTCAATATGGTACAAACGCGAGGCACCACGTTACTCAGTGGCAGTTTTGACAATAATAATCAAGCCATAATAGAAATAGAAATTTTCTATAGAAGAAGTGTGTTACTACAATAAAGCTTTAGAAGACAAAGTCGTTAACCTTCATCATAGGCAGCAAGAGGTTAACATACTAGAGGAAATCGAAGTACTAGACCTTTAACCTCTTTTTGACAAAATTTGGGAGGTGCACGTGGTGGAAAATTTTAAACCACCATCACTAACAAAATTTGACAGAAGGAGTGGCCCTCAAGAGTATGTTCCCTCCATCAAAGAAGCTACAGTGAGGTTGTATATGAAGTACAAACTACACTTTAGCACCTTCAAAGGGGTTCAGCTAAGGTGATACATGAACTTACCACACATGTCGATTGTTAGTTACTAGGATTTGGTGAAGAAATTTATCCACTAGTTTTCAGTAAGCAAAACAAAAAGGTATCAACCACAAGCCTCTTCAGCGTTCGCCATGGGTCATCTAAGTTGTTGAGGAAATATCTTGACCATTTTAACGAGGAAACCATCAAAGTCATCTTGGTTTAAATATTGATTAATTTTTCTAAGAGGAGGGGTTGAATAGACACTTAAAAATCTCTTTTTTTTATTTGTTTAAAAAATCAGACTATGCAAGCATAAACGAATATGGTGAAAAACTTGTTTTTGAAATGTTTTAAATTATAAAGAAGATTGTTGTATTGTGCACACACCAATGATATGAAATGTAGATATTGACAATGTATTGAATAAAAGTCAAAGCTTCAAACAAAGTGTTTGATACACTTCACAATTAATCAATTCAGAAGCAATATTAATTTCAATTCTTTACATATTAATCAATAACATGATTATTTAGAAGACAAATTATAATAAAACATAATCTTATACAAATCAAGATTATGAATGAAATAAACCTATGAAGCATAAATTTCTAGATAAAACCATAAGTCTAACAACTAACGCAAGCATGCAAAAACTCTATAAGAGAGAGAGAGAGAGAGAGAGAGAGAGAGAGAGAGAGAGAGAGAGAGAGAGAGAGAGAGAGAGAGAGAGAGAGAGAGAGAGAGAGAGAGAGAGAGAGAGAGAGAGAGAGAGAGAGAGAGTATCTATATTGGTTTGGTGTTATCGTCCTCGTAGACACCTAATATAGTCTCTGATGGTGAACCGTCAAAAACTTGTATCTTTCACTATGATGTTTGATTCAAGTTCGTATTACAACAGCTAAATGAAACAAAAGATAAAACTTTCTAATCAAAAATATCTTCTTACTTGCTTATTGGCTGAACTTGTCTGCAACTAGGTACCACTACTATTATCTTTGATCTTCACCAAGATCTTGATCGTCAACCTTTGATGGACTTCAATCTTGATAATTCGCCGATCTTCATTGAACCTCGAGTTCTAAGGCTTAAATCCTTCTCTTCAACAGGTTCACAAATCCACACAAAAATTCTACAACAATGGAGAAATTTTTTTCTCTTTTTCCTTCTAGGAACTTCAAACATTTGAATTTCTTGAAGATCAAATATCTACTTAAAACTACATACTTCAAATTAAAGATAGGACCATTAATGTTTCCTCACAATCAATCATCATACACACTATTAAGATGATGATTTTTCATGAACATAATGAAAATGAAGATTTTAGAGAGAGAGAGAGAGTCGTGTTTTCAAAGCTTTTTCATCAGTAAATTTTAGAATGAAAAATACTATATATATATATATATATATATATATATATATATATATATATATATATATATATATATATATATATATATATATATATATATATATATATATATATATATATATATATATATATATATATATATATATATATATATATATGAGATATAAGGCTAAATATTTTTTTTCTAATTTTCAGAATAATGTTTTTTTAGAAAAAAATTGTTAATTTCGAAAAATTTATTTTTGTAATTTTTGGAATAATTTTTTTTTTATTTTCAATACTTTTTTTTGTTTTTTGGAATAATTTTTTTTTTAATTTTAAAAAGTATATATTTTTTAGGAATATATTTTTTTTAGAAAAAAATAAATTTTGCTCAAAAACAAGTATATTATTTTACTTTTCGGAATAAAAAATATTTTTAAATTTAAAAAGAAATTATGTTT